TGTCATCTTCTGGCCTTTGCATGTCATTTGCAGCTTCCACAAAACTCCCCCAAAAATCTCATTTAATTTCGCATGTTGACCCATGCTATATTGAAACCACAATGGAGAAAGTCACAATATGGAAGGGATAACTGCATAATCAATGAAGAACTTTGAACTAGAACAGGAATAAAAGATTTAATCATGGAAATGTATAGTAGTTCATGTGGTGAGGGCAACAGTTGAAATGTGGACAACCCCAGTACTCCCTTGGTAAAATCAAGACTTTAATAGAAATTGAGCAAAGTTTCTGGCATATTGGGTGGGCCACTTGTGGGAGAACATAGACAAAGAATTTATCATGATGGGTAGACATGGATGGGTTGTTATCTCCATTATTAGAAGGGATATCCAGATCCATGAGAAACAGAGATCATTGGAGGATTTGAAACATTGGCCTCTTTCAAAGTGTAAAAGTAACTAAAGTTATTAATGACTTGAGGCTGCCCAGTAGATAGTGGGCTAGACCTGGAGTCAGGAAGACTCATCTTCCTGAATTCCAATCTGGCCTCAAATACACTTCCTAGTTGTGTGACCCTACACAAGTCGAGTCACTTAACCCTGTTTGCCTCAGCTTCCTCATCTGTAAAATGAGCTGGAGAAGGAAATGGCAAACTACTTCAGTATCTTTGCCAACAAAACCAAATGGGGTTACGAAGAGTCAGATGCAACTGAAACAACACCAAGTCTTTCCTGAAGAAATATAAATGCAGATGGCAGTGCCTATCTTGGTTTTTGTGATCAAAGAGAACATCAATAATTTGGAAAGCCCATGGTTTTCTCATCTTACTATTTCTTAATAGAATGATGTATTTCCTTGGGTTCCCCATCACTGACAGTTATTTTGCTTTAGAGCCTGTACTGAGCTCAGTCTAAGCAATGGCTTTAATGTTCTATCCTAAAAAAATAAAATTCTCTTTGTACAGTTGAATTTTTTAAAAAGTTGTTGTCATTGTAAACCAGAAAAGAGTAAAGAGTAAATTGTAGAGTTTGCCTAGTTTTAAGGATCGGCAAGGCAGATACGCATAATGACAAGAGGACAAAGGATTTTAGAGTCAGTCTTAGTAAATTAACAAGCATTTTTAAATTACCTACTGTGGTATGTACCATATATTTGCTAAGTCCTGTACTAAATGCTAGAGAGATACATTCATTCATAAAAATGAAACAATCCCTGCCCCCCATGGAGCTTACATTGTTCCAGTGAAGAAAGTATTGCTGAGATGACTGGATAGGGACACAGATAAGGGCAGAATGGGTGAAGTATAGGAGATGAAAGAAGAACTGAGGGACTAAAGGTTGAGATAAGAACAAAGGGCAGATGGCTCAGTAGGTATGAGAAACAAGATTGGTAGAAAGTTAATAACAAGAATAATAATCATAATAGCATTTTAATAGCACTTACTATGTGTCAGTCACTGTGCTAAGTGCTTTACAGACGTCTCATTTGATTTTTGCGACAACCTTGGAATGGATGCTATTTTACAGTTGAGGAAACTGAGGCTGATAGAGGTTAAATGACTTATCCAGAGGCCACACAGCTAATAGTTATATAAGACTGAATTTAAACTCAGATTTTCTTGACTCCAGGCCCAGCACTCTATCCAGTGCACTACCTCGGCCCCAACAGAAGACAGTATGACATAGGGGAAACAAAGAGCACAGGACTTGCTCCCACAACTCCATTTCTTATATAAGTTCCAGCTCTAACTCCACTACTTGTCCTTGGGCAAGTGGCTTTACCCCTTGAGGGGAACACCTATAAAATAAGGGAGTTAAAGAGATGACCTCCAAAGTTCCTCTGAAATTATATGAGAGATTGTCCAAAGAGAGGTATTTCAGGGTCCTTAGAAGTTTGTGGTTTGGTAGGACTATTGTGGATGTCTGAAGTGGAATCATTTGAAAATTGAGGAGGTTGACGTATAGGAAGGTTTTCACAGTGGATTTTGGTGTTTAGGACATAAACCAGTCTCAACTCTTCTTATACTCATGGAATTGTAATAGTTAAAATGTGAGGAAATTCTTTTGACTTTTTTTTGTGTTGGACTGCTTTTGAATTTAGCTGGGCCAGATTTATATGGCAGTTTGTATTCACGAATAGTGAAATAAATGAAGCTCAGACTTCCCATTGTCCAAATCCATTTACTGGTAATATTTAGGGTCATAATGCAAGTTTGATAATCCCTTAAGTTGAAGATATTGCATTTTAGTGGTGAAATTATCTATAATAGGCTGATGTTTGAGATTAGAGTAATGGTGTTGGCCAGGTTCAATTTTGTGCTCACATCACACTGGAAATAGACATAATTGATAAGTGAGAGTTTGGAGGAGCTGTAAATAAATTCCTTAGGTTGTTATTTTGTGTGTGTTTATATCTAGCACAAAAAAAAAGATTGAAAAGAAGAATGTTGATAGTATGATCCCCAAAAGGACATTTTGTATGGAAGTTTTTACCTGATATTCTTGAAAAGTTAATTTTTTATGACATTTGAATGATTTCTGATAAAATGTAATAGAAAGCACTGTCAGGCTTTTTAAACCTTGATATTTTTCCTTGCTTCAGCTTTCAGAGCTTTAAATAAAATTTGAAGAGTTGGAGATGCATCAAACTCTAACTCTAGCATTGTGTAAGCAAAATTGATTCTCCTACCCCACCCTGTACTTTATTCCTTCCTTATTCTAAAGATCACTTTCCACTCATTTCCTGAAACACAAGAAGCAGAGAGGAGTCAGAGTATGAAAGTACAACTGGTCTTTAGAATTTAGCCTCTCCATTGCCCAAAGGACAAGTAGGAAGAAAGAAGGTGTTCTGGCAGGAGTAGAAATTGAGACCTAATTGCTAATTTTCTCCTTCAGCTTACCTTAAAAGAATACCTGTCTCTACAGAAAATTCTTTTGCCTTTTTTGTTGGACTGCTTTTGAATTTAGCTGTGGCAGATTTGTATGGCAATTTGTTTTCATGCACAATGAAATGACTGAAGCTCAGACTTTTCCTGTTGTCTGAATCCATTTTGAGTGATATTCAGGGGCATAATACTAGTTTAATAATTGCTTAAATTGGTATGATGGATTTATTCTAGTAGTGAAATTATCTACAATAGACTAACATTTGAGATTAGGGTAGTTGTGGTGGCTCTCCCCTTTAGAACTCAATATTCTTTAATTAAATCTATGCTTATTTGTAAATTTTTTCATTACATATTTCCATTGGAGTTGAACTAATTGCCATTATTTTAAATATGATTGTAACTTCCAATAGTGCAAATTCAAATAATGCAACCACTTAATGGGCTCAGTTATTTGTACTAATTGGGACTAGCTATATTCTCACTTGAATGTTTGAATGTATGGGAAAGCCAAAACAGGGGTCTTATGCTGTAATTTTTCTGAGTCTGGCCATTGCTACTGGTGGTTCTTGGATCTGTTATGAGGGGAAGAAGAGATAAATTTAATCTTCAAAGCTTTCATTTTGGGGAAAAGATCTTGGAGGGTGGGGATGAGAGAGCAAGTTGGAAATGAAGGCAAAGAGTAGTTTTGTTTAGCTGGAATATATAATACATAAAGTGGTAGCATAAAATAAAGCCAAACAAGTTAGGCCTGAGCTTGAACAAGTAGGTTGGAACTCAGTTACGAAGAGCACTGAATACTATTCAGGAGTTTATACTTTATTCAGAAGGCAATTGAGAGCCATGGGAGTTTGGTCATTATTGTTTTAAATAAAAGACTAATATGATTATAGCAGTCCTTTAAAAAGATTACTGGGATAGCAGGGTGAAAGATGAATTAGAGAAAGCAAAGACTTTAGGCAGGAAGACCAATTAGGGGAATATTTTAGTATCCTATGTAGAAAGAAATAAAGGCCTTGAGCTATGGTGATTGTAGTGGGGTGGGAGGAAGAGGAAGAAGGGGAGATATGTTATGGAAGTAGAAATGATAGAACTTTGCAACTGATCAGATTTTTAGGGAGAGAAAAGAAAATAGTTAAAGATGATCATAATGTTAGGAGACTGGGACTATGGTGTTACCATGAACTGAAATTGAGAAGGCAGGGAGAGAAACAAGTTTAGGGGGAATGATGATGAGTTCAGTTTTAAACATATTGAGTCTGAGGTGTTAATGCAACATTGAGGTAGAAATATAGATTGTTGCAGAAAAACAAGCACCTTGGAGAATACCCATATTCAAGAGTCAAAGGGAGGAGGAAGAATAGAGTGGTCAGAGAGAAATACAAGGAGACCTAGACAGACTAGAAGGGTTAAAGAGGATGAAGTAAGAATTTTTTTTTAATTTGGTGATAGAGAGCTCATTATCATCTTGGAGAGTTTCAGTGAAGCAATAGATTTGGAGGTTAAATTACAAAGGGTTAAGGACTGAGTGGGTGATGAAAAAGTAGAGACAGTGAATTCAGGATATTTTTCAGAACAGGAACTTTTCAGTGAAGGGGAGAAAAGAAATGAGATGATGGCTTGAGAGAGTCATAGGATCAAAGCAAGTTTCCCTTTCCCCTGAAAAGGGTGAAATAATTAAGGATTGGAGACATGTTTTGAGGTTTAAAGAAAGGATTCAGTAGAGAATGGGAGATTTTATATGCACGGGAAATAGGAAGGAAAGGTAATATGATTGGCAGGCCTGGTTGTAGAAGAGGATGGTAGAGGGTTTAGCTTTGGGAATGTAGAGACTCTTCCTCTGAGACTGCAGGGAAGGATGGATGAGGATAGTGAAAAGATCAGAGGAGTTTGAACTAAAAGATAAAAGAAAAAGCTGTAGTTTTTATGCATGGTACTGAGATTCTTTTAGTGAACACTGGAAACCTAGAAGTACCTCATTATATGTTTAAGCAGTGAATTTTTGCTTAATTATTTACTCACTCTTTGATATACAATAAATGACAAAATTGTATTTATATAAAAAAACTATTAAATATGAATTATAACCCTGTTTTCATTTCTCTTCTCCCTTAGATGATGAAACATGCTTGGGATAATTATAAACTTTATGCCTGGGGATTAAATGAACTGAAACCTATATCAAAAAAAGGACATTCAAGTAGTTTATTTGGTGAGTAGCATGTACTTTGGTACTTAATGATAGTAACTCTTCCCCAACTGAATGTGACCTGTAATTCTGTATGCCTATTAGGGTTACTTATAGCAAACATAGGTAAGGATTCAAAATTTATTATAGATATATTACATTAGTAAAGATTGTTGACAGTAGTATAAGTAGCTGCTAGTAGCTGTTTCTAGTTTAACCCCAAAAGGTGACTTTAAATAATCCATCTAGCCAAACAGATGTGTTTACACTATGTCTTACATGTTTCCACCTATTATTAGTTTCTATATGGCAAGGATTGCAAGGAAAAGTAGGCCTCGGTCATTTACCTTACTCATATTACATTTATGTAGCACCTTTACATTTTCTAAGGACTTTTATAGACTTTATTTCATTTTGTCCTCATAGGGCAGTTAATAATTCTTCCTAGCTCATGGATTAAGAAGCTAAAACACAGATTTAAGTGATTCACTCAAGGGTATCCTAGCTAGTGATAGAGATGAGAGAGACTCCTGTCCATTCTTTCCACTAGACCAGGCTACCTGGTTATGTAGCCAAGGTAATGAATGTGGTTCAATTCCTAGCTACACCAGTTGAACTTACTCTGGCATGAACAGAAAAGGGATTGAGGATTGTTTTACTGGTGCTTCTCCATAATTTTTTGTGCTATCATGAAGTACTTGTGGTCCCCTATGGTTTGTGCTATGAAAACAAGATCAAACAGTATTGTAATATAGTTAATGATCATCCCTTCTCCTTTTTCCCTCCTCCCTTATTTCTTCCCTCAACCCCCAGAGCTATGTTTCCTTGTTCACTTCTTCCCTAGAGGATTCTGAAGAGTAAATAGGATGAGGGGCTTGGTGAGGTGGGTTTGAGGGGTGGGCTATTCTTTGGTTTCTAAAACCAGGAAACTGAATATAGAGTTCATTCAAAATACAAGGGGGCTCTGGAAGTTGAGTAAGTTCCTTTTTAATCTAAAATCAAATTAGCCTCAGAGTAGGCAGTGGCTCTTTACATGGTCCCTTGATGGACAAAGGAAAATTTCTTTAATCAGCAGAGAATGAAATCTTATAGAACTTTAAACAGGTCACATTTCCTTATTAATATGATTAATTTTAAGAGACAAAATATCCAAATTCTTTTGTTGAAGTAGGATTTTTTTTGTTAAGATTATTTATAAAATAGATCATCAGTTTATGTTTGCAAACTTGTTTTACATGAATTTTTTTTACAAAGTGTGTTTGTATGTGTATATATATATTTAGTATATAGTGTTAGTCATAGTGTTTTACTTTCAATGAAATTAACACAAAGAAACAAATAAGCAAACAATATAGATTACATATTATGTATTTTCATGTTTTGTTTTGGTTTTTTTTCCCTAGACAATGGGATTAAGTGACTTGCCCAGGGTCACACAGCTAGTAAATGTCAAGTGTCTGAGGCATATTGTTGTAGGTGGTACAGTGGAAAGAGTGACAGCCCTAGAGTCAGGAAGACTTATCTTTGGGAATTCAAATTTAGCCTTAGACACTTAAAAGCTGTGTGAACCTGAGTGAGTCACTTAACCTTTTATGCCTCAATTTCTTCATCTGTAAAATAAGGTGGAAAAGGAAATGGCAAACCACACTGATATCTCTGCCAAGAAAACCCCAAATGGGGTCACATAGAGTCACACATGACTGAAACAGCTGAACAACATATATTGCAGTATTTTTTTAACACTCATTTTTTCTTTAAGAATTTTCTTTTATACCTAATGGAAATCAAAGTACTCAGGATCTTAGGATTTAGGGCTCAAAAACATCTCAGTCCAACCCCCTCATTTTCCAAATGAGGAAACTGAAGCATGGACAGGTTATATGAATTTCCCAAGGTCACGCGAGGTAAGCAGCAGATTTGAGTATTCTGACTGGAAATTTAATGCTCTTTCCAGGGTGGTGCAATAGGAAACTGAAAGCCAATAACAATAAACCCAAGGCAATGCAAAGTTTAGATAAAAGTCCCTTTTCTTAGGGGAATCTTAGAGCCTAGGAGAGAGATATGACAATGGATTGATTTATGAAGTAGGCTTATAAGCTTTTCTCTGTGAAGGCTTTTAATTTCTATTATGTATTCCATCCATCATATCCAAGATCTATGGTTTTGGTGCCACTAAACACCTGAAGTAATTTTTCTTGGACCTTTCCCACTCTTTATTCTTTGTCAGTTTGTCTTTCTTCTCTTTTCCTTTTCCTCCTCTTTTCCTCCTCTTTATTTTTCATGCACATTCTCTTTTCTTTCCCTTTATTTTTAGCTTCTGCCATAGGCCTTATTGAAATTAATAGGTAAATATTACTCAATCTCATTAGTAGCACCCAGGGTTGGGAATGTCATTGATCTCTGCCGTAAGATATATTACTGGAATAAATCTCTCAAAGATCATCACAGTAAAAGGGCATAATGCTTTGCTCAGTGTTATTGAACTCAATTCACTACTGAAACATTTAATTGTTCCCGATCATCTTAGGGCTTTAACATGCTCACATTATAATGCTTATAGATTCAATTTAATTGGAACCCTAAATGATTTGTCCCTGAGCTTTTAGCATTTCTTTCCCAAGTAGGTTTGTATAGAAATTCATCAAAGTGAAAAATTTTTGAATGCTTAAGAATATAATTTCTTTGATTTTTTTTTGGGTTTTTTTTGCTTATCAAATAATTTTTAAAAATCTAAAATTTCTGATACTGCTTTCTACTTTTACTCTGTAAATTATAGTTGCTTAAAATTGGTTGCATTTTAGTGAGTTCCTTATCCAAAAGAACTTTGTGTTACTTTCTAGTTTAATAACTAAGAATATTTATTTATTTAGATTTATATTGATCCTGAGAAACATTATACTTTTCTCTTACTTACTTAATTTGTATAGACTTGAAGTAGCCTTAGTTTTGCTCTGTGAACGTATATTGTAGAATGTGTAAGAGAACTTGTTTTTAATAATAGTAATAATTTACTTTGAAGAAAGAAAAGACAACTTTCCCACAGCACTTGTCACTTTGTCTTCAAATTAAGGTTGGACATGTAGGGTAGCTATTTATCCTAATAGCTTAGCATGACTTGTTACAAAACACTATAAAGTTTTAGTTCTTACAGTCAAATTATAGGAGCTGTTCTTAATTCTTTAATCAGAGAATAGCAAAGTGATGTTAACAGACTCCTTTACCTAATGGAAAAGGGAAAAACAACAAGCTCTTCACTATGTAGATTCTTAGGAAATGATTATCTGTACAACCACAGGCTGTTCTGAGAAATGACTTGCAAAACAGTTTTTTAGAGAAGAGTTAAATAACTTCAAAATCATGAAACTTTTTAGGACTTTTTCCTTCTCAAGGTTACTCTCTACCAGTTAGAGTGTAACAACTATTTCAGAACAGTTTTACATTTATTAAATGCCTACTATGTGCAAAGTTTTGTGCTAGGAACCAGAGAGCTTCAAAGTTAATTAAGATAGGGCTTCCAACCTCACTGTAATGGGGAGATAGGTTCATAAGTTTTATAGCCAGATGGGATTGAAGAAATCATCTAGTCTAACCCTTTCATTTTACAGATGAAAACTGAGGCTCAGATAGGTGCACTGACCCAGAATCACACATTTAGCAGAGAGTAGCATGGTAGGGTTTTAGAATCAAGGACATCTGACTCTAAATTGACTCTTCTTTCCATTGTACCACATTGCTTCCCATGATACATACAGATTAAAATGTCTCCCTCTCTGTAGGGAGAGACATATATTTTAAAATGGGTTCTAGTTCCAGACTTCCACCAGCAAGATACATAACCCCATGATAAGCTACTTTTTCCTTCTGGTTCCAAACTTCTTCTGTGGGAAATAAATCTAGTGACTTCATTAAGACAATTTTGAGAATGATACGTGAGGCAGCTAGTGGCAGAGTGGACAAAGCACTAGGCCTGGAATCAGGAAGACATTTCATTCAAATTTGGCCTCAGATGCTTACTAGTTATATGACTCTTGGAAAGTCATTTAATCCTTATGTGCCTGTTTCCTTATCTGTAAAATGGACATAGTAATAGCACTTCCCTCCCAGAATTGCTTTGAGGATAAAATGACATGATATTTGTAAATTGCTTTGCAAACCTTAAAGTGCTATATAAATTGCTTATTATTACTACTATTACTAGTAGCTACCACCTCAACTATGCCATTTATTTAAATTTTCCAAACCCTTCCTAAAAATGAAAAGAAATAATGGTTGGCACATTATTTGCTTACCACAAAGATTTCTCTAGTCAACCAGAACTGCAAAGGAAAGTAGAGACCAGATATTTGCATTTGAATTGAAACTAGAAAATCAAAACATTTCTTTGAAAGGCCCTAAACACTTTATAATTGACATTTCAGTAAGAACTAGTATTTGATAAATTCCTGTTTTGAAGTCATTTTTCTTTTTGTACCAGTATACCCCCCTCCCAAAATGATCATATTTTAAAATAAAATTAGGTTTTAAGATGTATGTCGTCAAAGGTGTCCTGCCAATTCCTTTTTTTCTTTAGATTAGATTTAGAATTAACAAGTGAATTTTTGGTTGTGAAATATTTTTAAATTCTACTATTAGCATTTTCTTGTACTAATTTCTTGGTATTTGGTTTGTGAAAGTTTACCTATGAATTCCCATTTGGAGTGTACCATTAATAAATGCAGCTCTTTGTTTTCCAGAATACTGATGATCCATACTTTGAGCCCTGCATTAGAATTAGAAGAAAATTTTTATAGTCCCCCTTCCATTACACTACATAATAAAAATACTTGTTCTTTTTCTAGTCTGACATAATCTTTGATAAATAAGCAATTCCTGATTATCAGCATGAGGGGTTATTTTTGCATAGAATGGGTACCATTTTATGCCTCCCGGACATGATATTGTATTACTATTTGTATCTGTTTATTTTCTCTGCTGTGCTCTAATCCATTGGCACAGTTACTTGAACATTGACTACATTCATATTTTCTTACAAAGTTTACACGGTAATGAAAGTACTGACCTTGTTCAAGGTACTAGAGGTAGAAATAGGTTAATTCAATTTTTTTTCTCTTTCCCAAATTGGTTCATTTATTCTCTATTGAATAAATCTCATTTTGCTCTAGTAGCTATGATATCTTAAAGCATGGTGAATGGATGGAGTACTGGATTTGGAATCAGAATTGTCTCTGCCATTTAGTGCCTCAGAGACCTTGGGTAGGTCATTTAAGCTCTCTGGGATTCAATTTCTTCTTCTGTAAAATAAGGAGGTTGGTTCAGAATGCAGCCCTTTGAAGTTGAAAGAAATGTTCTTTTGGAGTTAGAAACATGTATTGTTCAGATCCTACATGAGCCTTACTACCTGTGTGACTTAAACTCCATGGGTCTCACTTTTCTTATCTGTAAAATGTAGGAGGTTAGACTATATGGATTTGCTTCCAGCCCCAGATTTGTGATCCTACCATCTCACACTATGCAGTTTAGATCAAATTATGCTTAGAATGCATGTTGTAAGGTACAAGTATGATTTCATATGATTTCATTGGGTTTTTAATTATCTGAATTTGAGGGTCAGTATTTGTTTAATACAGACATCAGAAAGTAAATTTAGAGAAGTCTGTTTTATTTTACATAGGAAAATGGTAAGCATGTTTTCAATTCTGTCCTGTTAGGTTTGTTATTGTTTTAATTTTGTTATTTGATCTATATATTTACTTTGGTTCTATACGAGAATTTTAGAATATATGATCATGAAGCATTAGTGTTTTTTAATTCAAAATTAAACTCTCTTCATTTGAAAGGTTTTCATTATGTAATTAATATTAGCCACCAACTGATTTGAATGGGTATTGCTGACTAAAGAGACTTTTATTTTTGAGGTGTGGTCAGATTGTTAGCTGTATCTGTAAACCACCCTTTATTAAATAAATAATTTTCTCTTATTTTTCAGGCAACATCCAAGGAGCAACAATAGTAGATGCCCTAGATACTCTCTTTATAATGGAAATGAAAGATGAATTCAAGGAGGCAAAAGAGTGGATTGAAAAAAATTTAGATTTTAATGTGGTAAGTTAAATACAAGTTAGCATGATTATTTGTTAATTCTACCCTTAAAACACCAGCTGATATTTTGTAGTAAAGCTGCTATGGTGTTATACTACACCCTAGCAGTAACAAATCATAGTGCAATTCTTATATCATCTTTCTCAAATTGGTTCATTCCCAAATAGGAAAGTTGCTGTTCTGAGCCTGCCTTCCCTACTTCCCCCAGACATACACATGCTTTGGCATAAACAAAATATATTACATTCATAAATAAACTAAACTTTGTCCTTATCAAAGAAGAAAAAAGATGAAACAAAAGTAAGAACAGTAGATCAGAATTTTAGCATTGATGAAATAAAATCAGAATGGAAACTAGAAGTATTAAAGTCAAATCATTTATAAGAAAGTAGCCTAATGAGAATAACCATAAAGTAAAATCACAATACTTGCTTTTACCTAATATAATTTCCTTATTAAAGACTAAGCTGATATGTGTAGCTAAGTGTAGCTAGATGGTGCAGTGAATAAAGTGCTGGACTTGGAGTGAGGAAGTCCTGTGTTCAAATCCCCTCATAGTCACTTATTAGCCATGTGACCTTGGGCAAATCACAAACTCTCAGCCTCAGTTTCCTCACCTGTAAAACAGAGGTAATAATAGCACCTATTGAACAGAACTATTGTGAGGATCCAATGAGATCATATGCAAAATGCTTTGTAAAAATTAAAGCTATATATAAATGCTACCTCTTATTGTTAAAATGTTCTCAAAATCTGCTACATAATTTACTCCAACACACACAGCAGCTTCCAGCTCAAGGAAACAAAACAAGAACATATTAAATTAAGACAATGAAGAAATTTTTTTTAATTACTGTATTGTGATGGTTACTGGAATGAAGTTTTAGCTAGCTTTGTAATTATGTAGATAGTCTGCTCTCTTTAAAGCTTAAAGCTTTTTCCATTATCAGAAATCATAAAAGGGAATTAAAATTGAGATTTTCTAAAATCTAAAGAAGAGTGAAAGGAAGGCATCCTTATGAAGATAGTACTTAAACTTTGGTTCCCTGATTTAGAGGGAAAACCATGCTGGCCGGAGAGGAAGCAAAGTAGGCCTCCTGACAACACAGTGTTGCGCTTTGGGGAGACAGCTAAGGCCCTTGCCAGATTATATTGGAAGGCAGTCACCACCTCTCTGCCTGCTGGTATTAGGTAGCTCTTCATATATGTTTGAGAAATGGTGAGCTGACAAAAGTATATTTGTTTGATCTGAAATAAAATTGTGAAGTTTCCTTTTGAATAACTTTTCAGTGAGGCAGATAATAGTTTTGTTTCTTTTTTCTGCTGTAGTATATAAGTACTTTCCAAATAAATTAATCCTGGATTTCCCCTAGTTAACACTTAAATAGCATTTTCTAGATTTTTTTTATTAAAACTATAATACTATTTGTTGTTAAAACTTTAAATACTCTTATAGTGTGATTTCCATCTTTTTCCCTCCCAAAAATATAGACTGTGTTAAAAATGAATTTTTATCCAAAAGAGTAAGATTTCCTTATAAAAACTGACTTAAGAAGCAAGGTAAAAATGTGTTTCATTTTCAACGAAAATTTGTTATTGCATAGACAAACACATTTCTGCTTGGTTTATGAATATTAAAAAATTTTTTAGCAGAAATAAAAATGGGAATTGTATTAGAAAGAATACAATTGAATTTGTATTTTTTTTACTGTAAAGGGATATTTTAATGAGGGACTATTTTGGCAAATTTAGTATTTCATAGATAATGAAAATGCATATAATAAATGCCCTTCATTGGTTTATATTACCAATAACTAAAACTCATTGAGTTTTAATTATATCACAATAATCAGACTTTTTTGCATTATCATTAGTACAAAGTTCAAATAACTTCAAAAGTTGCTTAAAATCATAGGAATGATTTGTACCTGGAGTAGGAGAGATGGTTTCACAGTAAGTTCTCCTGGTTAACAGGAAGTCCCTACATAAAAAAGCAGAAAGAACATAATGTGTATTCTAACTTGAACGTAAACTTTGTTCTGAAAGATTAGGTACAAAAACTTCTCAATAATTAAAATTTGTCCTGGCAATTGAACATCCTCCTATTAATTCCAAGAGAGGTTTCCAAGTCATCAATCCAGTTCAAAGAAGGGAAAATTATAAGAACTGAGAAATTAGTAGTTGGAAAAGAGGAGTCTGTTTCCACATAATAACCAGACTGTGTTTGCATTATCAATAGTATATAGTTCAAATAACTTCAAGAGGAACTTAAATTCATAGGAATGATTTGTACCTGTGAGTAGCTGAAACAGTTTTACAGCATCTTTCATCAGTGAAATCCCAAACTGGAGGACAGATTCAAGGTCTGTCCTATAATGAATTTTGCACTAGAGAATGATCAATTGAGGCTAAGTATAGTGGTTAATGTTAATTATGATTAACTAGCTTCCCTTTCATGTCTGTGTTCCTATTCCCAATCTGTCTCTCTGTTCTTCATAGCTTTTCAAGGTTTATGCCCTCAATAACTGTGAGTTCCTCTTTCAGCTTTCTCCATCCATCCCTTTCACAGAAAAACAAATCAGCAGTTATTTTTTTTGATTTCTTGCTACATGCACGACACTATATATTATGCAGTATGAAGAATAAAAGTTAATATGACACGGTCTCTATCCTCAGGAACTTTACAATGTAGATCAGAAGTTCTTAATCCTGGGGCCCATGGGCTTTTTGTTTTCAATTGTTTGATAATTATATTTCAATATAATTGATTATGTGGCATTTTAAAATTTGAGATATAATTTCTTGGTTATTTAATCATTTTATTAATAATGCCAGCATGTGTATTAACAAAAGGATGGTCATTTGGCCCTTTTTCTTAAACCAAAGACCCTTCATGGCAGAGAGCTTACAGTTTATGTGCCCTTGGAAGAGTGGGTGTTCCTGAGAATGTCAATCAATTCTGATTGGTTAACAACTAATGAGAATGAATATTATAATAAGGGGTTGAGTTATATTATTACAGTGAGAGTCTTGGAGTATAAGACTTGGATCACCCAAATCTCAGTCAGATTATCAATTTCCACATCACCTGTCTGACAAAAGGGAGAATCAATATTTTTCCCAGACCGATCTAAATAAACACGATGAGCAGGAATCCTCTCAGCCCCAATTTAGAATTTAGTTTAATGTCTGATTAGATCTTGGCCTGGGTAAATCTTTAAGAAAGATTTCCTGCAGTGATTGATTTCTAGATGAGGAAGTAGAAAAGGAGAAAAAGCTTGGTTCAGAGTCAATAACTAGTTATTAAATACAGGAGAGAAATAATCATTTCTCTCAGTTACCTTTGTAATATAGGGAGCTAGGTAGGATGAGGCAGCTAGATAGAATAATGGCTAGAACTCTAGACTCCTAATCAGGAAGACCTGAGTTCATAACCTGCCTACTTACTAGCTGTGTGACCCTGAGCAAATCACTCAACCTCTCAGCTTCAGTTTCCTCATGTATAAAATGGGGATAATAATAGCACTAATCTGACCAAAATTGTTAGGAGGATCAAATGAGATTACATGTAAAGCATAGTGTAAACCTTAAAGTGCTATGTAGATGGCTGTTGAATGTGCTTGGATTTTGCCAGATTGCCCAAGGGAGTCCATGGCACAAAAGTGTTAAGAATCTCTGGTCTAGATAAAAACATGACCTACCACAGGAAGTTAACATTAAAAGACAAACACAAAATCAAGATAACAGTGGAGGAGATATCACAAAATAGTATGGGGTTAATTGTCATAGCCATTATAAAAAGAAGGGAGAGGTCATTTCAGATTGGGATGATTGGGAAGGAAAGGTTTACTAAGAAAGTGAGATTTGACTTAGGTCTTGGAAGGATAGGCATTATAGCAGCTCACCCATATGTGACATTTTATCAAAGCAGAGGCTTTACAATTGCAAAGCATACATTACATATCTCATTTATTCTTCATACTAACCCTGTGAGGTAGATAAGAATATATTACAAACTCCATTTTATTAATTAGGAAACTGAGGACCAAGTTAAGTAATTTCCCCAAGGCCACATGTAGTAACTAAGATTACAGTGCTGAGACTAGGACTTGTTTCCTAATTCTAAACTCCATAATCATTTCCCTATTGCCATGCTCCCTCTGTAAGCATTTATCAATTCATTCATTCAACACATACTTATTAAGCATCTGTTTCTGAAGGAACGCTGGGCAAGATGCTAGGAAATTTAAAAAATTAGATAAGAATATAGTCCCTGCTTTCACAGTCTATTAGAGAGATGTAGAGCAAAGTATTGTGTGAGGTAGTAAGGGGGAAGACAGCTAATGGGATTAACAAAGCTCATGTGGGCAAGTGCTTTAAATTAGATGAAGTGGGGAAAAGAGGAAATTCCAGGCACAGGGAAAAGCATAAGCAAAATATAATGGGATTATAGATTTAGATCTGGAAAGTACTGTGAAGCCATCATGTCCAACATTTAGAGATCCAGAGAAGTTAAATTACTTACCCCTGATCACAAATTTATTATCTCACATTATATTTGGACTTGGAGTTTCCTTACTCCCTATTCTATTTACCATACCATACTGCCTGGCATGGAAGTAGAAAAGCAAAGGAAGTGTTTGGGGATCAGTTAGGTTAAAATATTTATGATGAGATGAAGCTAGAAATGTAGAGTGTTGTCAGATTGTGGAAGACCTTGAATACCTGACAAACAAGTCTACCTTTTACTTGTTAGGCAGTTAGAAGTTACTGAAGATTTTTTTTCCAAAGGAGAGAGTTATGTAACTAAATAGATACAGAAGAAAGATAAGTACATCAGTAGTATGAAACATAGATTGGAGGGATGAGAGTGGAGATAGAAAGATCTGTTGGGACATTATTGTAGTAGTCCAGGCAGGTGATAATGAGGGCCTGTGCTGAAGTCTTATAATGGTGGAATAGAAAGAATGTAATGGATTTGAGAAATGATGTAGGAACAGACT